TCTTGCTTCTCTCACTGCATTCTATGTAAAGTTTTTTTTTTTTTTAATATTTATTTTTTAGAAGTAGTTGGACACAATACCTTTATTTATTTATTTATTTTTATGTGATTAAAAAAAACAAAATTTACCATTTTAACAATTTCCATGTGTACAATTTGGTAGTGGTTAAGTATAGTCACATTGTACAACCAATTAATGCCTTTTCGGTTGTCTATTTTCCATTTTCCCCTGGTAAATTATAATTCTTTTTTTTTTTTTGTAATGCTGGGGATTGAACTCAGGCCTTGTGTATGCAAGGCAAGCACTCTGCCAACTGAGCTATATCTCCAGCCCTAAATTATAATTCTTTTTTTTTCAAACAAAGAATAATAATTTTAATGAGATGAAAATTACCCTGATCTGATAATTCTTAAGGGAAGAACTATGTTATGTTTTTAGTGCCTAGTACACCCTATTACACAGAATAGTCTTATATACTTCTGTGTGTGTGTGGGGGGGTGGTACTCAGGATTGAACCCAGGTGTGCTCTATTCCTGAGCTTGACATTCCAAATCATTTTTATTTAGTTAGTTTTTATTTTGAGACAGAGTCTCACTAAATTGCCCAGGCTGGCCTCAAATTTGCAATCCTCCTGCCTCAGCCTCCTGCGTGGCTGGGATTACAGGCATGTGCCACTGTGCCCAGCTTAATAAATACTTTCTGAATACAAGTTTCTGCTGCATGTTTGTCTGTCTGTCTATCTATCCATTCACCTAATTCAGAAACAGAACTAAGGAATGAGGTATTTCCACAAAAATGATGCAAATTTGTTAACCAGAAGGAAAGACTTTTTTCGACTAGTTCCCCAATTAGGGTATGAAGAGAATTAGATTATGTCCCCCCAAATATGCCACCTTGTCTAAAGACTAAACTAGAGCAACTGAAAAAACAGCAGATGCAAGAGAATCTCTTTGCCCTCTTCTTTTCTGTCTAAAAGCAAGGCAATAGAAGTTTTCATTCAAACAGAAGCAAGGCAACAGAAGTTTTCATTCAAAGTTGTCTCTCTCTCTTAATTATTACAGATGACTGACTCTTAATGAGGAGACACCATTTGAGTCTGCACAACAAACATTACTAAAAAAATCTCTTTCTTCTGTTAGTTTTCCCATAAATTTAACCTCCTACCATTTATATTCCCTAGAAACCCAATCACCTCACCCATGTCTACTTACTTTTCCACAATTTATTGCTCTCTGTAAAAATGATATATAAGCCCCTTGGTCTAACCACTTCTTTGGATCTTCATTTCTTTCCTATGAAGACTTCTTTATATATAATAAACCTTTTCTCCTGTTAATGTATCTTCTGTCAATTTAATTTGCAGGACATCTGTCATTAATCTAAGTTTGGATCTGGAGTGTCCTCCAAAGTTTCATGTGTTAAAGGTTTGGTCACCAGTCTGTGGCACTAGTGGAAGGTGGTGGAAAGTTTAGGTGGGGCCTAGTTGGAGAAAGTAGATCATTGAGGCCATGTCCCTGAAAAGAAAAACTTTTCTCTCCCTTCAGGTAAATTGCAGATATTTTCATAAATTTGGATGAGTATAATCTGTAGTTTCAAGATTTTTCTCAAATATACATTTAAATAATGTGATAAAATCAAAGTAGTTTAGCAAACAGGTATTGATATTAACATGTTGCCAGGTATGGTGGCACACACCAGTTATCCCAGAGACTTGGGAAGCTGAGGCAGGAGGATTGCAAATTTGATGCCAGCTTCAGCAACTCAGCAAGACACTGTTTTAAAATAAAAAAGGCTGGTAATATAGTGCAGTAGTAGAGTGTCTCTGTCTTCAATGCCCAGTACCCCCACCCCTCCCGGCCAAATTAATATTTTAACTTTCCTATTATTTAAATATGTGGGGCTAAATAAGGATGGACTATTGTTGAGAAACTAAAAATGTTAATAACTAATGACTGGTTAACAGATCAATTTTTATTCAGTTTATGATTAATTCTTTGCTTTAGTTTATTTCTAATTCTGTTTTCAAAAAGGAAAACTTGCTTAGTATAAATAATTCATAGACTACTATGTAATTTTGTTGGCATATAACTGAATTTGTTCAAACACCTGAGTGACATCTGCAACATTCTCCTCTTCACAGCAATGTTAATAAGATTTTTCAGACTTTATCTAACTGAAAAAGGGAAAAGTAACATAAATTTATTTCATCAACAAATATTTATGTGCACCAGACACAGAGGCACATGCCTGTAATCCCAGCAATTAAAGAGGCTGAGGCAGGAGGATCACAAATGCAGGTCAGCCTCAGCAACTTAGCAAGACCCAGTTTCAAAATAAAAAATAAAAGGGCCGTGGATATCCCTCAGTGGTAAAGCACCCCTTGTCAATCCCCAGTATAAAAGAAAAACAACAACAACAAAAAAAAAAAAAAAAAAAAAAAAAGAAGGAAGAGGAAAGAAAAGAAGGAAGTTTGGTTGACTTATGTGCAATTTTTATTTTATTAAAACTTGTAATATATTTGTAAAGGTGCTTTGATCAACCATAGATAATAATCAGGATAATAATAATTACAACCCAGAAAAGAAAAAAAATTAATCTTTAATCAGCACCTTGTAAAGAAGTAAAGAATTTAATTTCAATTTATATACATACATAGATGACAAAAGTCATTAAAATATAAAAATGTATTACATTTGTTACATATAGTTTGGAACTGGAGTGTCCTCCAAAGTTTCATGTGTTAAAGGTTTGGTCACCAGCCTGTGGCACTAGTGGAAGTGGTGGAAAGTTTAGGAGGTGGGGTCTAGTTGGAGAAAGTAGATAATTGAGGCCATGCCCCTGAAGGATATATTGGGATCTCTCTCTCTCTCTCCCCCTCCCCTCTCCCCTTCTCTCCCCACTTCCGTACCCCCATTTCTGGTTACCATGAGCTGACCAGCTTTGCTCTACTGAACATTCCCTGCAACGATGTTTTGTCTGGTCACAGGTCCAATATTGATGGGAACAAGCAACCATGGACAGAAACCTCTGGAATTCTAAACCTAAATAAATCCTCCTTTAAGTTGATTTTTTTCCCCCAGGTATTTTGTCATGGTGATGGAAAGATGACTAACACAACATTAAAATAAAAATATATTACATTAAAATAAATGGGAAAGAGATAAACTTTCTATCGTAGACTGCTTAATTTTTTAATAAATTATGCTAAATATCAGACTCTTTTATTTAGGCAACCTGGATATATTTAGTAGAAATATTTAGCAGTTTTATTTTAAAATATGTTTTAAATGTACTAGTAATGACATATTTTATATTTTTTAAAACTTCAGATGAAAAATTTCAGCTGTAAATTTAAAAATGTTCACGAGATAATATAGCATATAAAATTAATTGTAGGGACTCATGAATGGCCAAAAATGTCTAAAGACCAGAAAACTATTAAAATTATCATTTTTCTAGCTTTGACTTTTTTAGATTCGGAGTGCCCCCCAATCTTACCTCCATACTAGGGATTTAACCTAGGGGCTCTCTACCACCGGGCCACAACTCCAGCCCCTTTTTAAATTTTGAGATAGGGTCTCACTAAATTGCCCAGGCTGTCCTCAAACTTGGAATCCTCAGCCTGAGCATCTTAAGTAGCTGGGATTATAGAAGAATGCCACCGTGCCTGGCAGGATTTAGGAGTGCTTACAGACTTAAGGAATTCAGGTTTTTGGCTTCTTAATGAATGGTATTAGTATAGTCATAGCTACATTATGTTCTAAAATATTCAACCAAAAATACAATGTTTATTTTCACCTAGGAATGGGAGAATGGTTCTTAATAATTTAGTAAAAGGAATCATAAAATACCATGTATCAAATCAGCTGGCTAATTTATAAATTTATTATAACAACCTTCAAAATGATAATGTATTCCAACACTGAAAGATGGCATTTCTCAGCAAGAGTTAAAATTATGGGAGCTATGGGGATGTGTTTCCTTCACTGAGGTCCCTAAATTATATCAGTTAACACGAGTACCTATTAGTAGTAAAATTATTGGCCACATTTATCACTACTACTCTAACCACAGAATCTATTGCAAAAAAATACAAGTATGTTATAATGTGTTCTGCTGGACCAAATCTCAAAGCTTACTAAAATAATGCCCTAATCTTTCATGACTATCAGACACTTTTGGTAAGTATTTTGTAGCATTAGCTAAGGCTCTTAAAATACAGTCTCTCAATTAAAAAACAAAAATCACTGAAAAAATTTTACACAAGTATTTAAAAATAACTACAATAATTTTAATTAGTTACATTTCCTTTACCAACTACAGATGAGAAGCACAGTATCTAAGGTGTGGGCTAATATTGATTTAAATAGATAAAGAAGGAATGCACTTTAGTAAAAGGAAGTGAGATCATTGATTGACATTTCTTGGAAAAAGGTTAAAAATTCAAAAGGAGTGACTGCATGTAGCTCAGAACTTAAAAGCTTTTTTCTTTTCCAAACAGAAGAGCACGAGCAAGTAATAACGGGTTGCCATGGAGACAAAAAACTAGAGGGATCTAAGAACTCAATTTGCAGTTAAATGGGCTGGAAATAATCCTTACTACTTGGTGAAGGAAAGCGATTAAAAGTATACTTGATTGCCAGAGGGACTCTTTTTTACCTAGCCATTTCCCCACCTCATTAATGAGCAAGGAAGTCTAAAAAACCAAATGAAAACCCAAGGTATCCTTAGACTGAACCCATTAAACATAATTCAGGATTTCAAACATTATCACAATCCTTCCTATTCTAAGCGACGATATTACTTTTCAATGGTATTCATCAGTAAATATTAGAATGAGACTAAAATTACGTTTAAGAACAAACTGATATAAATGAAGGAACCATAATTGCAGTGAGGAAAAAGAACATGACCAATGGAAAAGTAACCAGAGTGAGAAATAGATTCAAGAAGTGAAAATTCAGACCCTGAAAAGTCTCTTTAAGTCAATTATAGTATACCTTTGTGAGTGCTGTAAAGGGCTGCAAATGTCACCATGAAGAAAGTTGTGGAGTATTTGCCAGCATTAACTAAATGAGGAAAGGCCCTTCTTGTGTCACGGTATCGACGCAGGCACTGGATGAAGCGAAGCCAAGCAGGAATGCACTGAACAATGGCTCGCACACCATATGAATATTTATGGCAGATTTCTGGTTCTGTGAAGATTCCAAAAAAGAAAAAAATTACAACTAAAAAATAAGCATGTTTACAACACATAGTCATACAGGGTAACCATTAGCAAGTTCACAAAGGCAAAAGGCTTAGGGTTCAGAATTACTTCCTTCCTTGCAACTATTATATTCTCAAGCCTTTTAGTGGTAGTTAAACCAAGGAAAAGAGGTAAAAATCTATAGAGGGGACTAGAAGGAAAATCTGCTCTCAGATTTATGGATATGTGTTCTAGAATCACTTTCTTTGGAGTTTGCCAGACCTTTAAGAAAATTAGAAAATAAGTACACTATAAAGAGGGGAAAACTAATTTGCTCTATAATTTGAAACATCTGGAAAATTAAAAAATGTCACAGGTGACTTCAGATAATTCGATGAACTGCAAACCATCACAGCATAATACATCCAACAGTACATGCTCTTGTGCTAAAAACAAAACAAAACAAAATAAAAACCCCAACCAAGAATAAACATTCTATTTTTAAATGAAAAGAAAAAGTTAATAAATTGTTTCTTGAATTCTGGTTATATATTGTTGTGTGTTCAACATACAATAGGGTTGTGATCCACTGGAAATCACTGAAAATGTGTCTGGCACAGACTTTATCAAACTTTTATTAGTCAGATGTTACATAATCTATCTAGATGCTTGTCATGAACATAAAATTGAATTCCTGGCACAAAATAGGAGTGGGACAAAGAGTCAGAGAAAATCAAGGTTCCAAATAAGAATTAAAAGTCATTATCATGAATTACTTGAAGCACTTATTCTGATTCCATATAATCAGAATTTTTGATCGCTGGTATAACATTCTAAAGCATACTGTGATGACACTTCGTTGGCATCACAGTATTTGTGATATATTAGAGCTTTAAAAAAATGGTTTTAGAATTCTTTAAGTATAACTTGTAAATCTCTTGGCAAACAGATGACTAAAATCATAGCACAATTTAAAAGCCAAATTATTTCAGATAAGGAATTGTTAACAGAGTGCCAAGTACATTTAGTTAAGTTTGTAATATTATTGGATGAGTTTTCACCATGACCTTAACTTTCTCAGTTATCATTCCCGATATTTCTTGGTTTACACTGGCAATTTTGTAGTGGGAATGCAAGTTCATATCCTACCTTCTGAATCATTTGGCAACAGGCCCTTACTTTTATTCCATTCAAGCTCAAAACTGTAGAAGCAGATCATATATTCCAGGTCCATTAGGATCACTGACAGGCTGTTCAGCTGATCAGCCAGCCAGAAATCAGCAAAGCCTACCTTATGAAAGGGGGCAGTAAATACTCGAAACTGAGAGAAAAAAGAAAAAAAAAAAATCAGAAAACACAGAAAGAAGAAAAGTCATATTAGATTTCTCTAATTCATGTCTGAATACTCAGCATTATTACTTTAGTTGATAAAATGAAAATCAGTGGACCAATCACAGACAAACACAAGGACCAGGAAACTGGCTTGGTAGGGAAGGGAATGAATTCAATGGACAACTAAGAAGGAAATGGGCATGGAGGCAGGATTGCTACAGTTAAAAAACAAAGAGAAGAGGTAGGAAGAGTTGAAGCTGAAAGTGAAGAGTGGCAGATGGTATAAGTACTGAGAGGAAGTTTAATGTTAGGCTCTAATGGAAAATTTGCTGGACAGGTGAATACTATGATCATTTCCAGAATGTACTATCTTAGATAAATGAATACAAAGCTCTGTGCCTGCAAAGGACAGGTAGGAAGGAACACTATTTGAAGCACACTTTATTCTCTAACCAAAGTGAATTTCATTTCACTAATGTTATGGTAATAGTGTGTTCATTTTGAAATCAGCCCTCTTCACACTGTTCTAAAAACAGTGATAAATGTATTAAACAAATTAAACATTAAGATAATAAGTTACAGGGCTTATGTGTGCTTTAACCCTCATAACAATTCTATAAGTTAGATACTATTCACGTTCTCATTTTCCAGAAGACCTACACAAACTTAGCCTGCCCTGTTCTGTGGACGCCTGTTTACCATGGCAAAGGGGGTGATTAATGCAGTCATCAGAAACAGGTTCAATCTGCACAGACTGCCTTGATAAGCCTGTGTGAAGTAAAGATGAGATGAAGGGAGCTTTATTCACTCTTGGACCTCTGCTATCTTACTACAACAGGAGAAAATGGACTCCTGAAACAAGGAATTCTGACAAGCAGCAGTTTTGAAAAAATGAGTAATTCTCTTGCTCCCTAGAAATCTAGCTATATATATATTCTTTTAGTAAACAAAATCAACCTGGGAGTGTATGGCATTTCCCTTTCAGACTTGTTTTTTCCCCCCTAAATACTTCTCTTTATTATTTTAGGAGGATAAATGGCTATATATAAATGGCTATATTATGAATCAATCCTGGGTGTCAACTTTCTATGACAGATATTGCCTTGGATCCTTGGAGAATTGGAAGCTAGACCAGGTATTTGTGGGATACAAAGCAGGTTTTGAGATGTTATTTTTCTGGAGCTGATATATCTTGGTTCCATGACTCAGTCTCTTGATTACTCTGACACTTTTTCAGTGAATCTAATAAACCAGAGAGAAAAGTTATACTATTTGTGACCATAAGCTCCAGATACAGAAAATTCTTTTGGATGGGTGTTGTAGGGTAGTGTAGGATGGTAGTTATCTATGCAAGTAGAGATTCTGGTGCCAGTTTTTGTAATATTTTAAGAAACTCTAGGGTACAGGATAGACTTAAAGACCAAAGAGACAAAGACAGGATGATAATTAAGAATATTAATGCCAAAAAAAAAAAATCAGGAAGTTTACTCAATCTCTTTTTTAAAAATAAAAATATATTTTTAGTTGCTAACAGACCTACATTTTATTTATTTATATGTGGTGCTGAGAATCGAACCCAGTGTCTCACACATGCTAGGCAAGCGCTCTACCATTGAGCTACAACTCCAGCCCAAGTTTACTCAATCTCTAGTTATAGACTTTAGTGAAATTCATAGCCTAGGAAAAATTCTTCTGACATAAAGACATTCTCTCACAATCTGTCAACCCCATCCTCAAAACATGGCTGATATAGAAAGTCTCCATAGAAGCAGCAGCAAAAGATAATGCATTAAACAAGAAGCCAAGGGATGGAGAGATAGCCATAAAAAAAAAAAAAAAGACTGGTATGAAAATAAAAATGAGAGGAAGGGAAATTTTACAGAAGATGAAAAGAGGAAGAAATGAGGGAGTAGTAAATGTTGGTTTAAGACAACTAATGAAGGAAAGAATGCAGTTATAGTCATTAATGCATTTAACAAAGACTTATTAAGTATTTATGTCAGGCCTTGTGGAGGTAGAGATAAATAAAACATAGTCTCTATCTTCAAAAACACACAGTCTAGGTGAGCAAATAAATACCCAGACATAAAATTATAACACCATATAGTAAGTGCTGTAATAGAGATAGACATATACTACCCTGGACATACAGAGAAGGGAACAAGTACATCTGTTAGAGGTAAGGTGACATGGAGAAAACAAATAGATAATACTTACTCTGACATTTACACATAGTCAAATTCATTTCAGATTTATCTGAACTCTCCTTCTGAGTGAGAATCTAGTAACTTGCCTTTCTTTTTTCTTGTTCTGGCTAAGGCCTTTCAAGTTCTCCACTTCTACTTTGTGATTATGATAAAAAGGATAAAGATTTCTAGAGTAGTAGTAGTATGAAATTGAGAGTCAGGTCTGAATATCTGATGTTTTACTATATACATATAAAATACCAATAATAAATTAGTCTAGGATGAGTATTCCTTATGTGAAATGCTTGAGGGCCAGAAGTATTTCAGATTTTGGAATAGTTGTATAGATGTAATAAGATATCTTGGGGATGGGACCCAGGTCTAAAGATAAGACTGAGATTCATTTATGTTTCATATATACCTTATACACATAGCCTGAAGGTAATTTTATATGACAGTTTTAGTGTGGCTGCATTCTGACTATGAAATGTAGAATTTTTTTTTCTAGTAGCTTAATGTTGGTGCTTGAAAAGTTTTGAATTCTGAAGCATTTCAGCTTTTCAGATTTGAAATGTTCAGCCTATGCAAAGAATATGTTAACATGATCTTCTAAGTTAATATGAATAAACAGATAAGAAGACAAAGTTTTAATTTCTACTTTTTAGAGGTTTGTCAATAAATACAATACCTTTCTAAATTTGATTTTTATATTCCACTACTTTTATCCACTAGATCAAATAAAGTATTTTAGATAAAGTGACTAACAGGTCTAACTGCTAAATGTTAGTGTTCAATAGAACAGTTTATGGAGCCAGATGGCCGGGTTTCATATCCCATCTCCATTACTTACTATGTGATTTTAGGCAAGATGTTCAATTTTTCTGATATATAAAAAATGGGGATTAACAGCAGCTCCAATCTTAGGGCTTACTAAAAAATTTAAATAAATTATTACATATAAAATGCTTTATTAACTAACAATACATCCCTATACACTTTTTTCAGTGCTGGGAAGGAACCCAGGACATTGGGTATGCCAGGCTAGTGCCCCACCATTGAAGTACATCCTGAGCCTTCTATTATAATAGACATGTAAAAATTTTACTATAGAACTAAAGAAAATACTGTTAAAAACTGATTTCTAAATTATATAACAGAGAACTCTTAAGTTAAAAATGAATTAGCCTATTTTAAGTTCATGTTTTTGTTAGAAAATATGAGTCATTTTTTATGTTTTCTAATTGGATTTCTGATTGGGGCAAATACAGATTTAGAGAAAAGAATATATGATTTAATGGATGTAAATAATCTGCAAAAAAACCAACCTGCACTAAATTTGACATACAATATCAATATCAAAATAAGTCAGTATCTGAAAAAAATTTTCATCTTTTTTTCAGAGGTGGGGAAAGAATAGCATATATCAATTTCATAGACTCCATTATAAATATGAATATAACCCAGCTGCAGTGGTACACGCCTGTGATCCCAGTGACTGCGTGGCTAGGGCAAAAGGGATCACAAGTTTAAGAACAGCCTCAAAAACTTAGTGAGACCCTGTTTCAAAATAAAATAAAATAAAAATAGGTTGGTGATGAAGCTCAGTGGTAGAGTGCTCCAGGTTCAATCACCAGTACTGGGGGAAAAATATACACACACACCACCCAGTGCCTACCATTATGGTCAAGTGACAAATGGAATTTTCCCCACTAAAAATTAAAAAAAGGGGTAAAAAAGAGGAACTAATGAAATATAGTTTATTTTAGGATGAGGATTTACAACATAACTAAAGTGAAAACATTCTTGTTAATTTAATAAAAATAAACCTGGATTTCTCAGTGAGATTTGAATTAAAATAAGTCAACAGGTCAATTGATATTAAATGACCTATACGTAATAACATTAATAACAATAATAATAACAAACCACAATGTTGCTTTCTGTATCTCACTGTTTTTTGAAGGAGCATTTTATTCATCATTGCCAACCTGTTTCATAAACAAGTCCTCATTTATCAACAAACATACAGCAGATACATAAACAAATGTCCACTCAATGGGAAACCCTTCTCTAATAAGAGTAACTGGTCATGCATAAATCACAGCTTGCTATTTAAACAAAGAAGAACGCAGGGGGGAATGTTCACTTCACACACAATGAACACAACTATAGTATTATCCTGTTGTTACAATGATGTAATTATAGAAACACCTGAGTTTTCTGAGTCTACTGAAATCTCATTTTAAAATAATTTTACAGAGATTTCACATTGAGGCAAGAAACAATAGTGTTTATAATCTAAAAGATATTTCTCTGGAACTAGAATAATACTACGTCTTTTGTGGAAATAACAGCTGAAAAATTCCAACTCTAATAACAAAATGACAGATCATCTGAAAGAAGAAAGGTAATCTAATATTAAACTGACAATGACTTATTTTTTTGTACTATAAACCTCAAGAGATAAATAAAGGTTCAAATTTGTCTTCTATCTGCAAAAACAAACACAACCCCTGACAAAATGTATTAAAGAGAATGATTTTCTCATGACTGATCAAAATGCTTTTGTACATTTAATTTCCACAAGCAGAAGTCAAAGGTGGGTCTAGTGGTACTATTACACTTAAGGTTTATGTCCCACTCTCCAATGAAATGGGAGAAAATCCCAATTTGTAATAAAAATCTTGATGAAAGGTGAATAAATTCCTATAAGAAACACAAATAGAATTCAATCAGCTTTGGAAAATAAAAGCCAAGGATCTGAGGTCCATTGCTTTGCTATAAACACTTACTTGTCTGTAACAGGGATTGAGCCCAGGGGTGCTTAACTGCCAGGCCACATCCCCATCCTTTTTTTGTTTTTTATTTTGAGACAGGATCTCACTTGCTAAATTGCTGAGTCTGGCTTTGAACTTTCGATCCTCCTGCCTCAGCCTCCTTAATCAGTGGGATTACACGTGTGTACTTAACATGTTGGCTTTTTTTTTTTTTTTTAAATCATAGACTGTTAAAGAGAAAACAAACAGCAACAACAACAACAACAATAAAAAAAACACCAACAACAACTCCTCTGCTAACCCACAAGGGCATAAAAAAGGCAAACAAAACAAAACCCAAAAAAACCCTACATTTTTCAGGGAGTTATACTTATGTGGTTAAAGAGAGAAGACAATTATGGCAATTCTAAAATTTATATGGGGACTTGTCATTTTAATCACTAATTCTCACTCTTGCTGGTTACAGTTTACAATCTAAGAAGTAATTATATGGGCTGGGGTTGTGGCTCAGTGGCAGAGTGCTTGTCTAGCATGCGTGAGGCACTGGGTTCAATCCTCAGCAACACATAAAAAGAGATAAATAAAATAAAGGTATTGTGTTCATTTTAAAAAAAATTTAAAAAGAAGTAATTATATGACAGCATTCTTAATTGATTTTTAAACAGAGCTGGCCTAACTTAGAAGTAAGCAGAACAACTCTCCCAGAGCTACCTTTGTGCTACCACAAAACATACAGCTATCATTTTTATGGAAAACTTTATACTCTATTATTGAGAATAAATTATTTTGGAGACCATTAAGAAACAGGTAAAGTGGAAGAAATGATATTTATTACAAACAACAATCAAAGTTTGTTTCTCAAACTGAATGTGGTGATCTGATAAGAAATCTACCAGTTTTAGAAAACCAATCTTTCCTAATATAAAGTACTGATTACTTACATCAATAACAAGAAAGTCACAATAGTTTTAACAATTTTTTTTAAAAGAAAGAAACTGACAAAGCCCTACATGTTATCACAGCTGGTTAAATAATCTATGTAATGAATTCATAAATCACTATAATTTGCAAAATCATTTCAATATCTGACCACTTTCCACTTCATTATAGGAGGAGAGGAAAAATTCATGAGCCCTTTTTCCAAGGGCCACCTTACTACACACCTTTCAGGAATCTCTGCTACATACATTCTTTGCTTCTCAAGCTGAGGTGCCACTCACACAGACACAATGTGAGTAGTGCCTCTGGAGTTGTACAACCACACAGCCTTAGTTTTATCTTAGAAGAAGCCAATAACCAATATACTATTCTAAAAATACTACCAAGTTTCTGGACTTACCAGCAGTTTAAGCAGCCAAAATCGGGACTTATAATAGAAAGTTTTAGTGGGGTTGATAAGAAAGAAAACCATAAATCCATAAAGGGCAAGTGGATACACATATGTGGGGATGACACTAATTGGAGAAAAGAAGCATGCCAGAAGGCTCAGGCACCACAATATCCCCAGGAATCCAGCAATCTGGTAAAGGACAAGGAAGACAAAAAGAGAGAAAATTATTTCTATTTTTACCATTACTTAGAAATATCTCTAATAAACAAAAGTAAGAAAAATAATTAGTAATTAAGCAAATAATTCCTTTTAAGTAGAAGATGGATTTCAGTACTCTAATAAACTAGCTATACATATAAAGCAAACTACATTCACGGGTCTAATGTCTTGCTTTGATTACCTCAAAGAGATGCTGATGAGACAAATTGTTTCTTGGATTAAGTTCAAAGATGAGCACATGATTTACTCCAGCCTGTCTCCAACCATACGTGTTGATGCCCAGTAGAAAAAGGAATTCGATCAGAAGAAAGCCACCCCGATAGATTCTTACCAAGGGCCATATACTTTGATTTGTTTCAAGTTTAAAAATAGCTGAAAGAATATTAATATATTAGTTAGTTATAAAACCCAAAAAGTCTCCTTTAATTATTTTCTTCATTTTCAAAGACTCCGCTAGGAATTTTTCATAAATAAAACCCATACCTATGTTATTTCAAGAGCCTGATAAAGTTGCCTCCAGATTCTTTCCCTTCCTTATTTTACTCTGCAGAATATTATTACAATAATTTTTTTATTCCACTGGTTTCTTATATTAGAGTGAGGTATGGTGAAATAACTGAGAATCATAAGATCAGCTTTATCAGTTGGGTATTTTGGGTATGCTACAAACTCATTGGTTTTATTGTCTTAATGGTGAACTACAGTTGCACATAATGATGGGACTTCTTGATACCCATTCATACATGTACACATACAATATAATTGGGCCAATATCACTCCCCGGCATTTCTCCCTTCTTTCCCCACCTCTTACTCCCTGCTCCCTTTCCTCTACTGGTCTCCCTTTGATTTTCATGAGATCCCTCCCTGCTTTTCTTTTCATTTTTCCTCTTTGGATTTGTTTTCTCCACCATCAAACTAGATAGAATAATATCTACATCACAGAGTTGCTGTATAAAATAAATCTTTGCCCCCTGCACCTCAGATAGAGCATAAATCTCCAGGATATATAAACAAACTTAAAAAAAAGTTAACACCAAAAAAACCACAAATAACCTAATCAATAAATGGTCAAAGGAACTGAACAGGCATTTCACAGAAGAAGTAATATATGAGAAAAAATTCAACATCTCTAGCAATTAGAGAAGTGAAAATTAAAACTACATTGAGATTTCATCATACCCAAGTTAGAATGGCAATTATCAAGAATACAAGGAACAATAAATGTTGGTGAGTATATGGGAAAGATACACTCATACATTGCTGATGGGACTGTAAATTGGGGCAACCAGTATGGAAAGCAGTATGGAGATTCCTTAGAAAACCTGGAATGGAACCAGCCAATGACCCAGTTACCCCACTCTTCGGCATATACCCAAAGGACTTAAAATCAGCATACTATAGTGATGCGGCAACATCAATGTTTATAGCAGCTCAATTCACAATAGCCAAGCTATGGAACCAGCTTAGGTGCCCTTCAACAGATGAATGAATAAAGAAAATGTGGTATATATGCACAATAGGATATTACTCAGCCATAAAGAAAAATGAAATTATGGCATTTGCTGGTAAATGGATGAAACTGAAGACTATCATGCTAAATGAAATAAACCAATCCCCACCAAAACAAAGGCTGAATATTCTCTCTGATATGTAGATGCTAACAAACAATAAGAGGGCAGGAAAGGGAAGAATTGAAATTCATTGGTTTAGACAAAGGGGAATGAAGGGAAGGGATAAAGATGGGAACAGGAAAAACAGTAGAATTAATCCGACATAACTATCCTATGTTCATATATGAATACACAACCAGTATAATTCCACATCACGTACAACCTCAAGAATGGGAAGTTATAGTCCATGTATGTATAATATGTCAAAATACACTCTACTGTCACATATATCTAAAAAAGATACAACAACAACAACAACAAAAAGATATGGAAAATACAAGTTTTGGTGAGAATACACAGAAATAGAAACTTTATAAACTGCTAGTGGAAATGGAAATGGTGTTGCTTCTACAGTTAAGAGTTTGGTGGGTCCTCAGAATGTTAAAAATGTACTCAAATCTAGTTAGATCCATGTTTGCAGCAGCATCATTCACAAAAACCAAAAGGTAGAACCAACCCAAATATCTGTATATAAACAAATTCTGGTATGGAACCTTATTCAGCCACAAAAGGAATGAAGTATTGACACATGCTAATGGACCCTGAAAACATATTTAGTGAAATAAGCCATACAAAAATACCACATATTATATGATTCTAGTTATATAAAATATCCAGAATAGTTAAATTTATAGAGACAGAAAGAAGATTGGTAGTTGTTAGCAGCTGTGAGGAGAGAAATTCAGGATTGAGGTTTCTTTTTAGGGTGATGAAAATGTTTAGTTAGATTGCAAAAGAATGTCAATGTACTCAATGCCACTAAACTGTTCATTTTAAAATGATTAATTGCATATTACATGAGTTTCATCCCAATAAATAAAAATAATTGCAGAGGGGAAAGTAATAGATACAGTAATAATACAGTTAGCATTACTAACTCCAATGCTAGGCACATGCTCTGAACTAGTAGTAGTGATAATTATGATTCAAAATTTTCTAACTGTATCTAGTTCGCATCTGTGGTCATGGATAAAAGAAGGCTAAATAGCTTACTCAAATATTTATAGCCCTAATAGCTGGGGTGTTTGCTCCACATATGAAGGAAATTTCCATGAACAGGAAAATATAATACATATTTATAAAACCTAAATGCAGTCTGGCACAGGGTGCACACCTATAATCCCAGCAGCTCGGGACACTGAGGCAGGAGGATTGAGAGTTCAAAGTAAGCCTCAGCAAAAGCAAGGCACTAAGTAACTCAGTGAGACCCTGTCTCTTAACGAAATGCAAAATAGGGATGGGGATGTGGCTTAGTGGTCGTGCACTCCTGGGTTCAATCCTCGGTAACCTCCCCACCCTAACAAAACCCTATTAAGTTCTACTTAATAGTGTAAAAACTGGAAAAATCTCTAAAGCTTTTATAACTATGATCTTGAATAAAATAATATCCTTGAATTCCACAATTGGTAAGAAAAGTTAGTAAAACAAAACAAACAGCAACAAAATACCAAGGATTATTTGTAAAATAATAAATTTAAAAGATAAAGCCTTCTGAATGAAAATATAAAACTACATCTTGTAAATGAACTGATTTAGTTTCAAAAAACACATCACAATCTTAATGATTCATAGTCAAGTTATTAATCAAAGACCAGAAACTTCAAATTGCTCAAAATATAAAATCTAAGAATATAGATTAACTTCTTTCTGAAGCAACATTTTGTAGAGGTACTGGAGATTAAACCACAAAAATTCTTGCTAGGATAATAATAGATAATCTGGGAAATTCCAATATATTAAAAAACAGAATGAGTTAGCATCATTCTTTTAAGAATAAGGATATCATCTCTGTGATCCATTGTTCCACAAAATAAAACATATATATTGTTCCATTTCAAACTCTCCATGGCTTTATGAATTTTTAACTAGAAAACCCTAACATTCATAAAGCATTTATTCTGGGCTAAGCAATGTGCTCAGTGTCGTACATGAATAATTTCATTAATTCTCACAGCAACACTCTAAATTGGTTTTCCTTAGCAGATACATGAAGAAACTGAGGCTTAGTTAAATTAGGTTCCTTGCCTAGGGCCACAAGGATTTAATATTGGCAAAGTGGCTCCAAAGCCTGCACTTTTAATAATAGGGTTATACTGTATAGAAAGTAATATGTGCTTACAGAAAAACAAAATAAAACAGAGGCTTATCCTAAAACTTTTTAAAAAACTAGTCTTCTCTTTACTGTACCAAGTTGCCAAATCAGTTTTCTTTAAAAGAACATTAAAAAATTTTTGAACAATTTTAAAATTAATTTATTTTTTTGTATTTGAGAAAAAGCTCTTCAAATCATTAGAAAGGCGATAAGAAGCCTCTTCTTGCTCTAGGTCCTATTCCCCTTTCCTAGAAGTTAAAAATTTTGTTTATTATCTTCCAAGAAATTCTTTTTTTTAATATTTATTTTTTAGTTATAGTTGGACGCAATACCTTTATTTCACTTATTTATTTTTACGTGGTGCTGAGGATCAAACCCAGGGCCTTGTGCATGTGAGGCAAGTGCTCTACCGCTGAGCCACAACCCCAGCCCCCAAGAAATTCTTAATGTACAGAGAAATACTCACTGAATAACTTTTAAAACAAAACAACTCTGGGCTGGGGATGTGGCTCAAACGGTTGCGCGCTCGCTTGGCATGCGTGTGGCCCGGGTTCAATCCTCAGCACCACATACAAACAAAGATGTTGTGTCCGCCGAAAACTAAAAAATAAATATTAAAAATTCTCTCTCTCTCTCACTCTCTCTTTAAAAAAAAAAAAAAACAACTCATCAGATACAATAGGAAGCATGCTACACATGTTTTAAAACTTGCTTTATTCACTTATATTCTGGAATGACCGTATCAGTACATAAATTCCTTTCTAATGTAAAGTTCAAGTGTTACATGCATGTAGAAAAATGGATAAATCATAAGTACACAGTATAATGAAAAATGGGAAAGTATATTAGAAACCAGAAGAAAAAACAGTACAGTACACTGTAGCATTCCAAGGCCCACTGTATATCCTCTTTCATGGTGCTGTCCTTTCTAACATTGAACTAGAAATTGCACCCAGGGGCCTTACACATCCTAGGCAAGTACTCTACCACTGAACTATATGCCCAATCCTTCTTTTTTTTTTTTTTTTGGTGGTGCTGGGGATTGAACCCAGAGCCCTTCTTAGTTTATTTTTCAGACAGTATCTTGCTAAGCTGCCCAAGTTGGTCTCAAACTTGTGCTCCTCCTGCCTCAGCCTCCCAAGTCGAGATGGAATTACTGGTGTATACCACCATGCCCAGATGTGTCTGGCTTCTTTTGCTCAATATCTGAGATTCATCCATGTTCTTGTATGTAGTTAAATTTAATTATTCTCACCACTATATACTATTCCACTGGGCACAGATGTACTATTTTTTATCCATTCTATGGCTGATGAAATTAGGCCTGTTTCCAGTTTGGGGATAATTATAAACAGTAGTGTTATTAATGTTCTCATACGTATCCTTTGGTGAAAATACGTAGGCATTTCTATTATTAGAGCTGGATCATAGGTTATTATATGTTCGGTTTTGGTAAACAGTGCCAAAGGGTTCTCCAAAGTGCTATGTCCATTTTCACTTCTACCACTATCTCCTTTATTTTAACATCTCCACTGTATTTCATTGTACAGGGACAATATAATTCATTTAAATAGTTCATGACTGAAAGATATGTAAGTGATTTCTAGGATTTTGCTATTATAAATAAAATGGCAGTGAATACCCTCCTTGGATATATTTTTTTGCAACCACGTACAAGTATTTCTGTAGGTTAAATTTCTAGAAATAAAATTACTTAACTGTATTTAAACTTTTTACATAGACTACCAAATTACCCTCTAAATAGATCACAACAATTAACATTATTACCACTAGTATACAAGTGCCTACTTCACACCCTTGTATCTACCATAAATGGTCATACTAATAAGTGAAATATGGTATATTGTTATTACATGAAATTAAGGTTACTAGGAATCTGTAAGAGAGACAAGTTTTTAAAAATTTATATAGGATTCAGATAGAGCCCTAATATCCAGAGTATACAAAGAACTCAAAAAATTAGACAATAAGATAACAAATAACCCAATCAACAAATGGGCCAAGGACCTGAACAGACACTTCTCAGAGGAGGACATACAATCAATCAACAAGTACATGAAAAAATGCTCACCATCTCTAGCAGTCAGAGAAATGCAAATCAAAACCACCCTAAGATACCATCTCACTCCAGTAAGATTGGCAGCCATTATGAAGTCAAACAACAACAAGTGCTGGCGAGGATGTGGGGAAAAGGGTACACTTGTACATTGCTGGTGGGACTGCAAATTAGTGCGGCCAATTTGGAAAGCAGTATGGAGATTCCTGGGAAAGCTGGGAATGGAACCACCATTTGACCCAGCTATTCCCCTTCTCGGTCTATTCCCTAAAGACCTAAAAAGAGCATGCTACAGGGACACTGCTACATCGATGTTCATAGCAGCACAATTCACAATAGCAAGACTGTGGAACCAACCTAGATGCCCTTCAATAGACGAATGGATAAAAAAAATGTGGCATTTATACACAATGGAGTATTACTCTGCATTAAAAAATGACAAAATCATAGAATTTGCAGGGAAATGGATGGCATTAGAGCAGATTATGCTAAGTGAAGCTAGCCAATCCCTAAAAAACAAATGCCAAATGTCTTCTTTGATATAAGGAGAGTAACTAAGAACAGAGTAGGGACGAAGAGCATGAGAAGAAGATTAACATTAAACAGGGATGAGAGGTGGGAGGGAAAGGGAGAGAGAAGGGAAATTGCATGGAAATGGAAGGAGACCCTCAAGGTTATACAAAATTACATACAAGAGGAAGTGAGGGGAAAGGGAAAAATAATACAAGGGGGAGAAATGAATGACAGTAGAGCGGGTAGAGAGAGAAGAGGGGAGGGGAGGGGAGGGGGGATAGTAGAGGATAGGAAAGGCAGCAGAACACAACAGACACTAGTATGGCAATATGTAAATCAATGGATGTGTAACTGATGTGATTCTGCAATCTGTATACGGGGTAAAAATGGGAGTTCATAACCCACTTGAATCAAAGTATGAAATATGATATATCAAGAACTATGTAATGTTTTGAACAACCAACAATAAAAATTAAAAAAAATTTACATAGGAAACTTATAATTTCCAAGAAACTAAATTCTGGAATATGTGATTTTTCAGAAAAATTATCAAACACCAGGTCATCTCCCCTTGAGAAACCATAGCAATTATGCACATAATTTTTTTGATGTGAGTGCTGAAAAAAAAAAAGACTCATGCTTGTACATGCATTATTACTGCTGTGTTTCTTTGAGACTCTCAACACTTATCTTCTGAACACCAGCTGTGAGACAAATAAGGATTGACAGCTGGTTTTCAAAATATTTATCCCGCCCCCCCAGCAAGACACACAAAGATCAAACAAAGATAGGTTCTGAGGTAAGAAAATACAATGCACAACACTAAATGCATAAATCACATACATTTAAAAAACACACAAAATTGTATCACAAAAATATTCTATACTTACTATACAAAACTAAACCTCAGATTGTCCTGAATTAAAAAGATAAACCTTTCTTTTTAAAAATGAAAATAAAGAAGTTTGTTTTTTCTTATGTCATACTTAACTATGATGATGATAATACCACCATAGCATCTTGGAAATAAAAAACAATTCTACTCACAAATGATTAAAGGTGTTTTCCAACAGAAATAACAACCTCCGCCACAAATACCACATATACCTTTTATTGATGTACTGCTCTGCAATTAAAAGCATATTTTACTAACACTTCTTATCTGATCCCTATGAACTATTATCAAAGCTAGATTTTCACCCTTTTCAACTAACATTCCCTGCTGTAGGTGCATTTACCATTTTTCTCTTTGATAACCATTTGCTTCTCCTGTGTACCTCCCTTACCCAGGATCAACTAACTATGCTCATTTCTTTTCTCCTCTTGGAATGCCTTTAATCCATTAATGTCTAGCATAAATTCCCTTTCTTCCATAAAAACTTCCGTAATGTTCTCATTTCAAAGTAATCAGGGCTAGCTTGGTGGCACATGCCTGTAATCCCAGCTGCTGGGGAGGCTGAGGCAGGAGGACTGTGAGTTCAAAGCCAGCCTTAGCAAAAGTGAGGTGCAACTCAGTGAGACCCTGTCTCTAAACAAAATACAAAATAGAACTGGGGATGTGGCTCAGTGGTCAAGTGCCCCTGAGTTGAATCCCTGGTACCCACTCCCCTCCAAAATTAAAAAAATAAAAATAATCAGTTGTTGGGCTGGGCTTGTGGCTCAGTGGTAGAACACTTGTCTAGCATGTGTGAGGCACTGGTTTTGATCCTCAACACCACATAACACACACAAAAAAGTTAATAAAAAAAAAGTAATCAGTTGTTCTTTTGAACTGCTAAAATATTTAACATCTTCAATCTCACAGTGTATTATTATTGTTTTAATACATACCTTAATCTCTTTAGCACAACAAAGTTCATAAGGAAAGTGATTTTCTTTTCTATTTCACAGGTATCAAGTATAATCATGAGACACATAAAATTTACTTGTTGAATAAATGAATAAAGTCTAAAACAACCCTGTAAATTTAATATATTAAGTTCATTTAACAGATGAGAAAACTGTTTTTAAAAAGTTAAGGAATGTCCTTAAAGCCAAAACAACTAACAAACAGTGAAGCTGGGACCAAAAAGGCAGACCTTTCGTTGTTTCCACAACAGCTAGCTAGACAATCTAGACTTAGATTTTTATACAATTTCCATGTATTGTAAATATGTAGATTGTGTTCACCCTAAAGAAACAGAACAAGCTTAAAATGTTATTATAAATTACATCAATATATTAAATCATAAGCTTAGGTGTATAATACTTATTAAAGTTAATTTTTAGTAACTGGTCAGAAGAACTCAAATACAGGTAAAAACACACTATTAATAGGTTAAGTTCATATATTCTCCAAAAGCATTAGAACTTCTGGGTTATAATTTCATAATGTAAAACAGACAGTCTTAAGAAGAATGTTTATGAGGAATAATGCACTCTGCAAATTATTTCTCAAATATCTGATATATGCTTGGAACTTTAAATACAAAAATTATTTATATATATATATATATATATATATATATATATATATATATATATATATATATCTCCTGCAAATCAAGAATAGGAAAAAAAAAAAAGAATAGGAATAGTGTGATAGTATATTAACCGTCTTTGTTCAGGTATTATTATGATTACTAAAAATCCAAAATGGAGTATCATGGATATTTATATAGTAATGTCTATTTTTAAATCATATTTCTTTGCAAACTTTACTGAGCAGAATTTACTTTAATTAATAATCAAGTTATCATAAACCTAATTCTATGACTCCTGAGGTACATCATGATTACTTGCTCTTAAATTTATAAGAAAAAAAATACTTATCCCTGACAAGTTTCTTTCAGTAACATTGGTAGATGTACACTTGATTCTTTACAGAGGAACAGAATTTGACACAGAATTAATTCAAAATTTAAACTACTTGCCTGCAAACACAAGGGTAATATTCAGCACAATGAATATTCCACAAAATAGGCCAACTCTAAAAGTAGTCCATGCTGGTGCAGGCTGTGAGCAGAAAAACAGAAGTGTAAATTAAAAAAAAAAAAATCAAATACATTACTTATATGCTGTAAGTCAATAGTAATAAGCCTCAAAATTTTATCACGAAATAGTACATTATGATCTGAATTTTTATAATCTGAACCAGAGAATCATTCACCCCTCATTATCCTATAAATAACTACAGAGTTGCCAGTTGAATTCTTTTACAGAAACCTGAGTCATGAAATAAACAAGATTATAATCTTAGGCATCAAATTACACATACACTGCAGTTTTCTAATGAGATTTAAAATGTCATTTCATTTTTCCAATGTACATACCTCTAAAATTTCCCAAGTCATTATTACTCAGAGCTTACATATCTGGTACTATGAATAATTAGAGACCTTGGTAAAATTAAACATTTATTTCATGAATTTTCTGCTAGTATTTAATTATTATATTAGGATAATTTTAAGTAAAATTTTCAAGACATACTAGAGATTTTTGACAAACTGGTATATCAGAATACTTTTAGAGTATGCAGGTTCAAGTAATATTTTTCTTTATTATAATTTTATATTTATAATTGCCTTGAAAACTACTATTTTCTAAAAATAAAGAACAGAAAGTATCTGAGATTTTAAACATAAAAGGATGAGAAACACAGATAATCTTATGGACTTTTCAGAGGTGATATTATATTTCCTATATTTTAAATATTTTCTAAAAACTTTAACCCCTCTCCCCCCCAAAAAAAACATTGAAACTTTGATCTTTTTCAGTAACAGATATCTGAATTAATGAAAGCATCCAAAAGGAAGATGGTCATAAATCTTAAAAAAAAAAGCTATCTTTAATTTCAAAAATGATTCAACATATACATACAAAGGAATGTATTTAATGTATTTGGATTATAAGAAATGATAAATAAAATAAACCTATATAATGCCTATCACTCATCTTTTTTTAAATTTTTTTTTAGTTGTAGATGGACACATTTATTTTATTTGTTTATTTTTATGTGGTGCCAGGAATTGAACCCAGTGCCTCCCGCATGCTAGGCAAGCACTCTACCAATGAGCCACAACCCTGGCCCCCTATCACTCATCTTTAGAAGGAAAATATTTCCATCAACTTTGAAGTCCCTTATCCCTTATTAAAAAAACCTTCCCTACTCATGGGAGAGAACTACGTCCATGTTTTCTTCAGCTTCACCTCCTCTAAATACATTCCTATTTTCTTCTTCTTCTTTTTTAAAATAGTTTTAATTGTATATGAACACAATATCTTTATTTTATTTATTTATTTTTATGTGAAGTGGAGAATCAAACCAGTGCTACACACGTGCTAGACAAGCACTCTACCACTGAACTACAACTCAAGCCCAATATGTTCATTTTTAAAAAATTAATTTTCTCATTTTTAACAGCTTTATATTTATCCAAATATAAATAACACGCAACAAACTGCATATATTTAAAGCATACCATTTGTGTTTTTTCCTCTCTAGATGCTTTTAAGATTTTTCTCTTTATCTTTAGCCATTTGTGATATAGCTATTTTTTATAGTTCATTGAATTAATTGATATACAATAAACTGCGTAGACTGTATTTAAAATATGCAATTTGATAAGCTTTTATATATATATATATATATATATATATATATATATATATATATATATACATACATACATACACACCTATGAAACCATTACCACAATAAAGACAATGAACATAATAATGACTCCACAGTTTCTTCAGGCCCTTTTGTAATCCTTTCCTCTCACCCCAACTCATCTGCATTTAACCACTAATCTACTTTCTATTATCATTGATTTGTCTGTTCCAGTCTCAGTAAATGAAATCATGCAATCATCACTTTTTAAAAATTATTTATTTATTCTAATTTGTTATATATGATGGCAGAATTCAATCCATTTCATAGTAAGTACTTTTTTTTTTAAGTCTTCCTTCTTTCTTTCAGCATAATTATTTTGAAACTCACCTTGTTATATGTATCAATAGGTTATTCCTTTCTATTGCTGAGAAGTATTCTGTTGCATGGATATATCACAAATTGTTTATCCATTCACCTACTGATAGATGTTATGGTTGTTCAGTTTCCGGCTATGAACATTCATGTAAAAGTCTTTAATGTACATATGCTTAGATTTATCTTGAGTAAACACCTAAGAGTATAATGGCTAGATCATATGGTAGGTATCTATTTAACTTTTTAAAAAAAATTTTTAATATTTATTTTTTAGTTTTCGGTGGACACAACATCTTTATTTTATTTTTATGTGGTGCTGAGGATGGAACCCAGAGCCCTGCGCATGCCAGGTGAGCACGCTACCGCTTGAACTACATCCCCAGCCCATCTATTTAACTTTTTAAGAAAATGCTGAACAGTTTTCCAATGTGGTAGTAACATTTTACATTCTACCAGGGATATGAGATGAGAGAGTTCCTGTTCCTCTAACATTTAATATGATTGTTTAATTTTAGTCATTCTAATAGGTATTTTCTCACTGTCGTTTTAATTTGTGCTTTTCTATTGTCTAATGATATTAAGCATCTTGTGACATACTAATTTTCCACCTGTATATTTTTTATGAAGTATCTGTTCAGGTCTTGCCCAGTGGAAGTTGTTTTCATTACTGAGTACTGGAGTTCTTTATATATATTTTGTATACAAGACCTTTATCAGATATGTTTTGTAAATATTTTATCCTAGTCCACCGATTTCCTTTTCATCCTCTTAACAGTGAATTCTCTTATATATTTATTTATTTATATGTGGTGCTGAGGATTGAACCCAGGGCCTCACGAGTACGGGGCAAGCGATCTACTATTAAGCTAAAACCCCAGCCCTTAACAGTGTCTTTTAAAAAGTGTAAGTTTGAGCAACCAAAAATCACTAGGATTTTCTCTTACATGTCCTTCTAGAATTTATAGTTTCTTTTAGGGCTATGGTACATACAGAAACACATAATGTAAAATATGGATAAAAGTTCGATTTTTTTTTTTTGCATATAAAATCCAATTGTTCTAGCACTGTTTGTTCAAAACACTGTTCTTTCTCTAATGACCTGCTTCTTTGTATTGAAAATTAGTTGCTCATATATGACTATGTTACCCTATTTTTGGACTCTATTTTGTTCCATTGAAGTATTTGCCTACCTTGATACTAATATCACACTCTTTTTTTTTTTTTTTTTGGTATCAGAGATTGAACCCAGGCAGGGGTACTTCACTACTGAGCCATATCCCCAGCCCATTTTTATTTTTTATTTTGAGACAGGATCTCACTAAGTTACTTAGTAGGGTCTCGCTAAGTTGCTGAGGCTGGCTTTGAACTTGCCAAACTCCTGCCTCAGCCTCCCAAGCTACTGGGATTACAAGTGTGTGCCACTATGATTGGCTCACACTCTTGATTAATGCAATTTTAATAATAAGCTCTGATACAAGGTAGGTAGTGTGATCTTCTAACTTATTTGTTTCAAAGTTGTGTTGGCTGTTCTAGGTTCCCTGAATATCCATATGTACTTTAAAACTAGCTTGCCAATTTTTATATGCATACACAAAAAATGCTGCCTGCTAAACTTTTTAAGCTGAATTGTTGGTATCTATAAATCAATTTAGGAAATAACATCTTAAAAAAACTGGGTATACCCATTAAATCTACATAAACATGATGTTTCTAATTTAGGTTGACAATGTTTTATAGTTTTCAATATAAAGATCTTTTACATCTTTTGTTAGAATTCCTCCAAAATATTTTCTATTTTGATGATATTATAAATAGAATTATTTAAAAAGTTTTGGTTTTGTAATTTTTTTTTTTTGGTATTGGGGATTGAACTCAGGGGCAATTGACCACTGAGCCATATCCCCAGCCCTATTTTGTATTTTATTTATAGACAGGGTCTCACTGAGCTGCTTAGTGCCTCACCATTGCTGAGGCTGGCTTTGAATTAGTGATCCTCTTGCCTCAGCCTCCCAAGCCACTGGGATTACAGGTGTGCTCCACCACACCCAGTGATTTGTAACTATTCTTCCTAATTCACAGATGTACAACTGATTTTTTTTTTTTTGTAAATTGATACTGTATTCTGTAATCCTGATGAACTCTCTTATTGATTCTAATAGCTATTTTATAGATTCACTGGATTTTTTACATGGGGAAAATTTACACTGGATTTTTTACTGGCAAAACAAACAAACAACAAAAACCCAATTCACCGGTTTCACTTCTTCCTATCTATATAGAAACACATAATGTAAAATATGTGTTTCTATATAAAAATCTGAATGCCTTTTATTTCTTTTTCTTGCCATATCACACTGGCTAAGTCAGTACAATGTTGGATTAAAAGTAGTAAGAGTAAATATGTATTTTTATTTCTAGTCTTGGGGAGTAAGTTCTTGGTGTTATACCACTAAGTTTGATAGTAACTCTAGGTTTTTTCATAGATATCTTTTATTAGATTTTGGAAGTTTTTTCTGTTATTAGTTCAATTCCACTCTGGTCACAGAAGATACCTTGTATCAGTTAAATTCTTTTAAATTTATTAAGACTTGTTTCTGATACAGACATGTTTCATTATCTAAACCTTCCATACCATCAAAAAAAATCTCATCTTAATGGTTTAATGAGACCAAGAAGTTCACATGTTAATAAGAGTAAACAAGAGAAGGAGTACAGAATAACAGAAAAGCCGGAAGGAATTTAAATTTGTCATGAAGCAAAAGCTGACATCTAGTTGTTTAAAAACTTGAACAACAATAGTAACAACTATTTATAAGTTTTGGCTCAAAAAAATGTAAGGTAATAATGCCTGTTAACAACCAGATTGTGCTGATTATTAAACAAGCAGAAGCAAATACTAACCTGAGCAGCTCCCAAAGGGGGGACACGTAAACGCTTCATAGCCTTTTGTCTGTCACCATCTTCAAGTTCATTGGTCACTACAGCCTAAAGAAACAAATTATTAAATTTCAACACAAGTTATTCTATACTTTAGTAATGCATAGATAATTCTGTACCGTTCTTATAAACTATATTTTGATAACCTCTTGATTAATGTACACTGACATATAGCAAAAGAAGACAAATCACAAGTAAGGCTATACATATCCAAAGCTAACAACTATTTACAAAAGAATAGAAACGCAGACCTCTTTCTTTCAAAGTAAGACATGAATGTTATTGAAAACGAGTTTAAAAAGGTAGGATTATTATACCTCAGTTTCAGAGATGAGCTGGTTGATTTTTTTGCATGTATAAAATGGAGCCACTTCTACATGAGCCACTCGCCAATCTGCTCCACGAGAAGTTTCCAGGATCTTGTCATGCTTTTTAAGGATTTTTCTAAACCCTGTAAAATTCAAATTCTACAGAAAAAAAAAAATCAGAAATACAACTGTAATTCTTCACCATCAAAAAAGATGAAAAATAAAAATCACTAAGCACTGACAGAGGTGACTGGATAAAGATTGAGTACCCAGGGAGATAGCAATGTTTTCATAAAAGTACTCACTACTAAAAGGATAAGATTCTTCTGTCTTATTTCACTCACTCGTTTCAAAGTAGTATGTTATTAGTCACACAAAGAGATACTGAACTACCAACAATTTCCCTTCCAAGTAAATTAAAGACCTAAACTGAAAACATTTTTAAAAATAGTTTTCTTTAGTTGTAGATGGACACAATGACTTTATTTTTAGTTATTTATTTTTATGTGGTGCTGAAGATTGAACCCAGAGCCTCACACATGCTAGGTGAGTGCTCCACCACTGAGCCACAACCCCAGCCCAACATTTTTACTTTCATATTTTTTATATACAACTATTGTCAAATTAGCTTAATTATGTTACTTTACTGCTTCGGTCAAAAATATTTTCAGAAAATGCTTTTTATTTATTGTGCTCAGAACACATTTATTTAGTACTTTGCTTTTTGAAGGACTGGTATAGAAGTACATTTTCTCTTCTATCAGGTAACCCATGTAAGCACGTGCAAGGAAAATGGATGCTCATTTATTTTGCTCAACTTTCCTTTTCCTTTCATTTATCTCAGATTGGGGATAGGAATGCAAAAGTCAGTAGGAAGGAAGAAATGAACCCAGTTGATAGTGCAGAAATTGAGGAAAAGTGGGTTCGTACCCTATAAAAATAGTATAAACACTAAACTTTTCCACATTTTCAAATTCTGTTGTTGTTTGCCCATTGTTTGAAAAAGCTAGAAATCATGGATTTCTAAGGCTAGATCTATAAACTAAACATCTCTCAAATCTGATGATTACACACTTCATTAATAAAAAAGAATGAGCACATACTCCAAAATAAGCTCTGCTTTCGTATTTTTAAGATTTTTTTTCCCTCTCAGGCTGGGAGTGTAACTCAGTGGTAAAGTGCTTACCTAGTACCTGTGAGGCCTTGGGTTCAATTCCTACCACTGGAAAAAAATTTTTTTTCTTACCATATTTTACTGTTTGATATTAAACTCTCCTTGGGGTACACATATTATAACTTGGACACCGCTTTTAATTTCCCCTTTTCCCTGATTCTCAAAATAAATGTACTCTTATAGTATAGAAACCCCCAAAGAATAGAGACGAGAGCAGAACTTTCATGATTAACAATTACTTTTGTTTTCCCAAGAAGCTTTTTTATAATTTCCCAAACAAAAGTTGCTGGAAAAAATTGATACAACAAAATTTAACAGGGTATTTTCCTGAAACATAAAAGCATGTTAAGGAACTATGAAATACTGTTTTTATAACATATGGGAAAGTACTTTGTTTCTTTTAAAGGTTAAGTTATGAACTATAAATTTAAAAATTAAAATTAAGTTATAAAGCTATGGATAAAGTTTCAAAACAAAGGAGTTTATCATTATACATATTTTATTTCTTTTCTACTGTTATTTTCCAATTGAGTTCTTCTTTAAATGATAAAATATTAAATCATCAAAGAAGGTAGAATGATGAGGGGGCAAGTTAGAAATAAGTATATGCATTAATGACAGATTACTATAAATATGGGACTTTAATTATTTTTTATTTTAAAATTCGAATTCTTATCTCAGGCAATACTTTTGTTGAACTATCTTTACTTTTTACGTGTTATACCATCCTATGATGGTCTTAACCACTCAATACAATAATCACAAGACTAAAATGAAAAACAAATAGTACACCAGATCTAATTAGATGCATTTGCTTATTTAGAAGTTTATAATTGAAAACAGATTTTTAAAATAATATATTTTATTTTTTAGTTGTAGATGGACACAATGTCTTTATTTTATTTTTATGTGGTGCTGAGAATTGAACCCAGGGCCTTGCATGTGCTAGGTGAGCACTCTACCGCTGAGCCACAACCCTAGCCCTGAAAACAGATTTTTTGTTCAATAATCTTTTATAATTTAACTATGTGAACAAACTTATAAAAAATTATAAATGAATAAATGCTCTGTATTTCCATAATTTAGCATACTTGGAAGTTCAATTTTTTTCAGACAGGTTTTTAAAATATTAAGTGATATAACAGCCGAGATGTTCAGTCTCAACACATCTGCTGTGACTTAATTCCTCTCTTTAGATTTTTTTCTTTTAATTTGGTTATACTGAAGTCTGTGAACAATAAAATTGAAAGGATTCTGTTAGTGGCAATCTGAAAAAGTCAGGATCTTTTGTTTTATTAGTGCTAATTGCAGGAATGTTAACTGTTCAAATTTTTTTGTGGAAATTTTGCTATTGGTTAGTAGGAACATAAATGCTCTTACATAGCCCAAAATGGTTAGATAGATACTACCAGAACTGCTTTAAAGAATAGAGCGTAAACTGTTAGTCCCTGAGTCAAGGGATAACTCCTCATGTAGAATGCTTCTTAGAAAATTAATGTTCAAAAATACAAGTCTTTCCTACCATTTTTTTGCTCCATGGTTTTTAGTCAATAAGGACATCTAAAATCCCAATAAGAACATCAAGAATAAATGTATGCTAATGACTTTCCTTTTTGGATTGACTCATTCGTATAGTTCAAGATAGTTCTATTAGAATTTCTCATTTACTTAAAAATACAATTCTCCAAGATGAGAATCTAAGTACCTGATAGTTCTGCAGCAGGATAAGACTGAGGTAGAACTCGCTGAAGGCCAGTTTAAGGTCTTTAATATTCCTATGTTGGACACGCTCTTCATGGGACAGGTGGAAGACCGGCTTTCTGCGTTGTCGCAGTGTAGTAACACCAGTACTTTCTTTCTGGGCATCCAGTGATGACTGAAGCTCATTCTGAAGTGTAGCAAATCTACGCTGAGCCTCTGCGAGTTTCTCTATTAGATATAAAACAGAATTGTCAAATCAGTTAAGGTAAATATTTGATAATAAGAGTTCTCACTGGCTTATGAAGTTTTATTAATTATTATAATTTGCTTTCCTAGAATTTCTAGAGGAAAAATGTTACATGTAATATTTAGAACTGGATAGAAAAAACATTTTAATGTAATATATTTTTCATTCTACCCCATAATTCCCTTCAAACAAAAATGCTAGTACCCTTTCTTTATACAGATGAAGAATAAAATGTAAAGAGTTACTAAGAGTCAGAATTCAGAATGGTACCTCCATTCTGAAATTTGAAAAACAGTTTGACTGATCTCAAAAAGTAAAACAGAATTACGATATGATTTAGCAATTCCACTTCTAGGTATATTACCTAAGAAAACGGAAAACATACACTGAAACAAACAAATACACAAACTTGCATTCACAATAGCCCAAAGTGGAAACAATCCAAATGTCCATTAATTGATGAAAGGATAAACAAAATGAAGTGTGTGCACGCGCACACAAACACACACACACAGTCTCTCACAGGAATATCAGCCAAAATGAGTACTAATTCATGTTATGTTGGGTAAACCTTGAAGATATGCTGTGAAAGAAGCCAGACACAAAATATCACATATTGTATTATTCCATTTATATGAAATGTCCAGAACACAGAAATTCATAGACAGAATATAGATTAGTGATTGCCAGTGGCTTGGGGACAAGGATATTGGGAAATGACTGCTACCAGGTATGTAGCATCTTTTGGGGATGATGAAAATATTTTGGAATTAGATCATGGGGATGGTTGTATATCCTTGTGAATAAAAATAAAACCACTGATTTATACATTTTAAAAGAATATCTTAATTTTAAAAAACTAATATGAAATGTTTCTGGTTGTACAGTTTAGTGGAGAAACAGGATTAGAATTTGGGACTTTAGGTTTTTAATCTTGTATTTCCTACCATGTATTATTACTTCTCTAAAGCAGGTATTCTAGGAAAAGACCAAAACTAAAAAATTATGTGTTTAAAAAAATTAGGTATATCTGGATGTATGTGCTTATACAGTTGTCCCTCAGTATCCCTCAGTATTTACTTCCAAGGACATACTGGAAATGACTGTGGGGAAATGATTGTGGTACCCCAAATCTGTAGATGCTCAAGTATCATTTAAAATGGTATAGTATTTGCATATAACATACAATTTATTTCCCACGTACTTTCTTTCTTTGCAGTGCTGAGCATTGAACCAAGGGCCTCATACATGCGAGGCAAGCTCTTTACCACTGAGCTATATCCTCAGTCCTCTCCCATAATATAAAGTGTCTCTAGATTACTTGTAAAAGCTAATACAATGTAAATTATTCATTATACTGTATTTTATTTAGGAAATAAGAAAAATGTCTGTACATATTCAGTACAGATGCCATTTTCTCCAAATATTTACCTATTTATAGCTACATATCTAAAATATTTAATTTAAAAAATATATATTTCTTTTTGCAGTGCTGGACATTGAACCCAGAGCTGCACTTATGCTAGACAAGCATTCTACCACTAAGCTACACCCCCAGCCCTCCTAAATATTTTGGACTTATAATTGGTTGGTTAAATTCATAGATGCAAACCCACTGACGTGGAAGGTCAACTGTATTTAAAAATAATACTCTGGGGGGGAAAAAACAGAAAAACAAACAATTACAGCAATTAAGAATAAAACTCTGTAACTTTACTTCCAAGGACATACCGGAAATAGGTAAATGTGGTTTCAAATCTTTGACTCATTAACTAGTCAATTTTAGTCTAGAGATTTTTTTTTTTCAATTTTTCTACTCCTTTCATAGGTGAAAGAGAGAATGCTAACTCCCTCATAAAATGGTTGCAAAAATGAAAAACGACAAGGAACTTAGCACTCAGTAAATAATGACGTTAATGATTATGTAATAAAAAGCATTATTTATGACTCCTTTCTCAAGTTCTTCCCTTCCTTTTTTTTTTTTTTTTTTTTTTTTACTGTTATATGATCTTGTCTTACCCTAATCTTTAGTACTGTTGTCTTGTCTGGCATTGCTTCTTTATTATTCATTGCTCTCTTTCTTTCAGTATCTTTCCTTTTTTTGGGGCAGTACTGGGGATTGACCAGGCCTCACACGTGCTAATAATAATAAGCAAGCCTTATCCACTATCATGGTATTCCACGTAGTCTTGCTTTTAAAGAAACTATTTACATAGCAAAGGCAACAAAGCCATGAGTTCATACCCATGGAATAAACTAGTCACAGAAGAACTTATTTCTCATGTTAATGTCTGTATGTGACAACCCAAAGCCAATGTCATACTGAACAGAGAAAAACTGAAAACGTTTCCTCTATAATCAGGAATAAGATAAGGATGTTAACTCTCAACTCTCCTAATCAATACAGTTTTGAAACACAAACCAGACCAATCGGACAACACAGAAGCAAATTAAAGGGATGTGAACAGGAAAAGAAGTCAAATTCTCTGTTTGTTGGTGACATGATTTTATACCTCAAGAACCCAAAAAAGTCCATCAGAAGACTTCTAGATTTGACAAATTCAGCAAAGTAGGAAGATACCAAATCGACATACAAAAATCAATAGCTTTCTTGTACTCCAACCATGAATCTGTCAAAAACTAAATCAAAACTACTCCATTCATAGTAGCCTCAAAAAAAAAAAAAAACCTTAGGAATAAATCTAAGAAAGTGAAAGATCTCTATGAAAAGTATTATAAAACAGCAAAGAAATAAATTCAAGATGACCTTAGAAGATGGAAAGACCTACCATGTTCATGGATAGGTAGAATTACTACTGTCACAAAGGCCATATTATCAAAAGCAATCTATAGATTCAATGCAATCCCTATCAAAATACCAATGACATTATTCACAAAACCAGAGGGGAAAATCCTCCTAAAACTTATAGAGAAGAACAAAATATCTAGAATAGCCAAAGTAATCCTGAGTAGCAAGAGTGAGACTGATCTCCAATTATACTACAGAGATAATAAATATAGCATGCTACTGGCATAAAAACAGATGCAAAGATGAATGGAAGAGACTAGAAGACAGAAAAATCCAGAGTCATCTGATCCTCGACAGAGATGCCAAAAGCATACACTGGAGAAAAAATAGACCTGTGCTGGGAAGACTGTATGTAGAAGAATGAAACTAGATCCCTACCTCTCATACTGTACAAAAATTGACTCAAAGTGGAGTAAAGACCTAGGAATTGCAACAGAAACAGTGTAACTTCTAGACGAAAACATAACTCCAATATACTGGCACAGGTACTGACCTCCTTAATAACTCCTGAAGTTCAAAAAATAAGTCGACAATCAATAAGTGGGATGGCATTAAAATAAAAAGCTTCTGCACAACAAAAAAAATTTAAAAAAATACTGTGAAAATCAAATAATAATAAAAAAGGAATCAACAGCATGAAGAAAGAATATATAGAACAGAACAAATTCTTTGCCACCTACTCTTCCTACAGGTGATTAGTAACAAGAATATATAAAAAACTCAAAAAGCTTAACCCCCCCCCAAAAAAAAAAACTAATAACCAACTCAGTAAATGGGCAAAAGATCTAAAAAGACATTTCTCAAAAGAAGACATACAAAACTGGGGAGATGCAAATTAAAAAACCTTGAGATTTCATCAATGGCAATCATCAAGAATCTAAATAATGAAAATTGTTGGCAAAAATGTGGGAAAAAGTATGGTAGTTTATACATTGCTGGTGGAATTGCAAATTAGTACAATTAGTTTGGAAAGCAATATGGAAATTTCTCAAAAGAACAGTAATGAGACCACCATATGACCTAGCTATACCACTCCTCAGTATTTATCCAAAAGAATTAAAATCAGCATACTATAGTGATACATGCACAACAATGTATAGCAGCACAATCCTCAATAGTCAAGTTATAGGTACCCATCAGTAGACAATTAGATAAGGAAAATGTGTTATATATACACAATGGAGTTTTACTCAGTCATAAAGAATGATATTAGGGGCTGGGTTGTGGCTCAGTGGTAGAGTGCTTGTCTGTCATGTGTGAGGTACTGGGTTTGATCCTCAGCACCACACAAAAAGCTATTGTGTACACCTACAACTAAAAAAAAAAAAAAATTTTTTTTCTTTTTGCCAGGTCCCCAGCCCTTAAAAAAAATAATAATAAATAAGAGATTAATGCTTTAATGGAGGTGGCTGTGGTAAAGATTTTCTCCCAATCTGTAGGCTTTCTCCTCACTTTATTGTTTCCTTTGCTAAAGGAAAAAAAAAAAAAAAAAGGCTTTTTAACTTGAATCCATCCCATTTACTAATTCTTGATTTTACTTCTTGAGCTTTAAGAGTCTTGTTAAGGAAGTCAGATCCTAGGCCAACATGGTGAAGATTTGGGCCTATTTTTTCTTCTATTAGGTGCAGGGTCTCTTGTTCTAGTGCCTAAGTCTTTGATCCACTTTGAGTTGACTTTTGTGTAGGGTGAGAGATAGAGGTTTAATTTCATTTTGTGACATACGGATTTCCAATTTTGCCAGCACAATTTATTGAATAGACTATCTTTCCTCCAGTGAATGTTTTTGGCACCTTTGTCTAGTATGGCACCTTTTTTCCTAGTATGACATAACCATATTTATGTGGGTTTGTCTCTGTGTCCTCTATTTTGTACCTCTGTACCACAAGTCTATTTTGGTGCCAATACCATGCTGTTTTTATTACTATACCTCTGTAGTATAGTTATGATGCCTCCTGCTTCACTTTTCTTGCTAAAGATTGCTTTAGGTATTCTGGGTCTCTTATTTTTTCCAAATAAATTTCATGATTGCTTTTTCTAATTCTATGAAGAGTGTCACTGGGATTTTAATAGGAATTGCATTAAATCTGTATAATGCTTTTGGTAGTATGGCCATTTTGACAATATTAATTCTGCCAATCCAGGAACATGGGAGATCTTTCCATCTTCTGAGGT